ATCATAAGGATAAATCCCTGGAATTAGCATTACGAGGCCACATAATCTGTGCATTGTAATTTTGGTAGATGTTACCAAATTGTCACTTAACTGTTGTTGTCCCCATTTATGTTGCAATGTATAAGAGAGACTGCCTGACTGACGGCTGATTTAAATGCTCCACTTTTATTTTCCTAAGTCCAGGGAAAAGATGATTTCTAATTTGGATGTCAGAATAGGTGATGAGACTGACCACTGTGGCACTACATGGGAGAATAATAAAGTGTCACTTCCTTCCTCAAAACATCAATGCTACGAATTACAGATGATTTCAACATCTGGGACCATTTCCAATCCTTCCAAAGATTTAACAGTGACTTTTCCAAGGAGTTGGGTAGAGCAGCCCAGGTGCATCAATGCATTATATCTGCTGAGGAATATTTATGTTTTAAGTAAATAATTCAACTGATGTTTATTGACCTCCTTTCCTGTGCCATGAACTGTCATAGGTGCTGAGGTCCTGCAGCATCTCTGCTGTCAAACTTTGTGCTCAAAGTAATTGTGATCATAATTATTACAATTTCTTTGATTCCCTCTCCAGCCCTGAGAGGCAGTTAGAGTGCATGTGATTAACACAAGGGTTCCCTAGTCATATTGCAGCGTGGCAAACATCGCTGATCATTCCTCCAAATCTGTTCCACTTTCTGTGTGGAAATGCACTTTTTGGTTGGGCATGTGGCCACCTGGAATAAAAACTACATATCCCAGCCTCCTTACATTTCCCAGCCTCCTTTGTGACCAAGTTCTGGCCAGTAGGAAGTAAACAGAAGTGGCATGGGCAACTTCCAGAGGTATCCTTTCAGAGACAGAGCATGTTCTTCTCATTCCATTCTCATCTCCCAGCTAGGCGGAACCCCAACCTCCATGATGGTGGAGGCTGGAAGAGCCGTTGAAGATCATAAGTTGGCTGTGGGGCCACATATAAAAGAGCATGAAAAGAGAAGGAGTCTGGGTCCCTGATACTATGGGTGCCAGACTTGCTGGGGACCAAATCTTTGGTCTCTTAGATGAGAGAACAAACCATTCTGCTTTGTTAAAGCCATCATGTTGGTTTTTTTAATGCACTGAAACCAAATACTAACCAAAGGTAACAGACTTTTGAACTCTGAGTGGGGACTTTTGCATGTCTGGAGGGGTATCTCTCTGCTGCAGACATCTTTGTTCTATCAACTGAGTTTGAATCCTGACTGCTACTCTGGGCAGAATGATAACAAAACTCCAGGTTCACACACTATTGCAATATTAGGAGGCTATCCCTCACTTTAGAGGATGCTGTGAGGGAAGGGTGAGTGAGCATGTTCTGGTCACTCGTGATGCCAGGCAGGAAGTGGGGGTGGTGATCAGGATTCACCCTAGACCAACTTATGTAGCAGATGTTGTAGGTCCTGGTTGCCCCTTCACCCTTTCTTTTTGGTTTATGCTTTTGAGCATAACAAAGACATCTGTCCAGACAGATCTGCTCCAGTCCCTTTATACCCATTCCTTGCATGTCTTTAAGCTTCGGTGTGCTTTCTCTCTCAATGGCCAACATTTTCAACTCATCTTCACAGGGCTGTGCGTGGACTCCTGGGGATGCTTTGCTGACTATGGAGAGAACTGAATGCAATGACGGTGCAAGGTTTCGTAGCTCTGGGCCAAGGCATAATTTTTACTTTAGAGATCCCTTGTGGGTTCAGGCAGAAGCTCAGCCTCTTTAGCAGGACTTTTGCCTGAGATTTCAGTCTTTCTTGGCTTCCTCTCTGGCTTAGTTTCCCCCTATCCCTGCCAACTCCCTTAGCAGCCTCCACTGGAAGTATTTTTATTGATAGATCACTTAGCCACAAACCCTCATCTCAGCATAACAGCCGAGCCAACATTTCTCTGTCATGTAACAGCCTGTATGGAGCATCCCTCAGCTGAGACAGTGGTTCCACAGTGTCTTTTTTATCTTGTTGCATTGGCATCCTTCCTGTGTTGCCTTTCCTCTCTTGTGCTGATGGCTGCTGTGGCTCCCACCATCATGTATGCATTCCAGTCAACACTGGGAAGAGGGGGAAGTAGAGGGCACACCACCTTCTCTTAAGGTAGGACCCAGAGGCTGCGTTCATCACTTCCACTCACATCCCATTGGCCAGCACTTAGTCACACGGCGACACCTAAAGCCAAGTAAGGCTGGGAAGTGTAGTCTTTAGATGGATGGCCAGGTACCACCAATTGGAGCCCAGTAGGGAATAGAATGGTAAAAATAGAGGAGAATGAATATTGGGGTAAAAACCCAGCAGTCTCTGTCATGCCTAGGAATTACTACCTTAAATGCTAGGAACTACATTTTCCTACTGCTACGGGATGCTTGATTCACTTTGAAAGTATACCTTTAGCTGTTCTGACCAGGTATACCTTTAGCTGTGAATGCCCTGAAGTAGTGGGGGATGTTTCTGGAAAAGATCTGGGAGGTCATCATCACCTCCAGCATAGTTACTGGGTCTTGGGCCTAGGGCTGGCAGCTGAGGTTAACATGTCTCAGCGAGGGACAGCGCAGGCAGAGCTCCTAGCAGAAAGCTGATGTGAAGTGGGTGGCATGGGTTGGCAGGTAGCATAATGTAAAGGGGTGGATTCAGCAAGAGGATATAACAATTGCAAATATATATGCGCCCAACACTGGAGCAACCAGGGATATAAAGTAAATATTATTAGAGATAGAGAGACAGTTGGACCCCAGTACAATAATTGCTAGAGACTTTAACACCCTACTTTCAGCACTGGACAGATCTTCCCCTAGGGGCTGGCATGGCCCATAAACTGCCCTAGGCCCCTTATACTGACAATGAGTCAGGCAGGACCTGCCACCTGAGTCTCCTTGTGAGGGGGTGGGTGGGGTGGGGGCGGTGCAGAGCCCTTGGAGGTCCAGGGCCTGGATTTGAGCAGGAGCCAGTAGGTCTTCTGATAGTATGGGGCTTCCTTCCAGGACTATTTTCCAAGGATTAAGAGGCTTGCCCCTTGTCCTGGGTTGAATGGTGCACCCCCCTAAAAAAATATGTGAATATCCCTGGAACTTGTCAATGTGCCCTTGTTTGGACAAAGGGTCTTTGCAGATGTCATTAAGTTAAGGATCTTGAGATGATATCATCCTGGATTACCAGGCAGGCCCTAAATCCAATGACAAGTGTCTTTATAAGAGAAAGGCAGAGGGAGATTTGAGACAGACAGAAGAGGAGAAGATGCAGCCAGGGGGCGGCCAGCCAGGGGCAGAGATGGAGGTGATGCAGCAGCAGGCTGAGGAATGCCTGAGGCCACCAGAGTCTGGAAGAAGTGAGGAAGGATTCTCCATTAAAGCCTTCAGAGGAAATGCGCTCTGGCCAACACCTTGCTTTTGAGCTTCTGACCTCCAGAGCTATGAGAGAATAAATATCCATTGTTTTAAACTATGAAGTTGGTAGCAGTTTGTTATGGCAATGCTGGGAAGCACCTCCATAGTGAAGACTCAGCCACCAGTTGGAGGCGAGACAGCGCAGCAGGCTCAGTGACGATGGAGAGGTGTGTGCCTTTGGCCTCACCTCTCTGGCGGGTTCACTCTCCTTCGCCTCCACCCCACGCTCTGCTCCTGGATTCCTCCAGTTCAGTCAACCTGGTATGGGGAGGAGACTGAGGCATTTGTCTCCTTGGCTTCCTCCCTGTGATGTCTATTGCAGCTTAGCTATGTCCCCAGTACTAGGTCATGGTTACTTCCAAGGCAGCCTTTTCTGCACAACTCTCTTTCCTCCAGGTTCTGGAATATTCTCCCTCCCATTGTTCTTTGGGGACAGTTCTGGCTCTGTTAGCTCCTGGCCCCTGTACTATCTCTTGCGGCTTCTCTACATGCTGGCTCCATTGTGGTAATGAGTCCCTTTGTAAATTAGTCCCTCTCCAAGTAACTTGAGTGTGCTATTTCCTGCTGGGACCCTGACTGAGACAGTGCAGCTGGGGCTCCATCTCCCTGGTTTTATGGAGGGTGGGAATCAGGGTAGCAGTGTAGAACTTTAGATGGTAGGTGTAAGTTTCCTGAGGGCCAGAACTCTGCAAAGGGGTGATCCACATATTCTGAACAGTGAGATGAGAGAGTGCTTTGGGTTCTCTATATCAGGGACCAGGATCTGGCCTTCATTCTCTGAAGGGTCATGCAGGCTGCCTCTGTTGAAATCTAGTATGGTGCTTTGGCACCATTGATGTCTCTTGATGTCCAGAGGCTCATCCAGAGTGAGGTACAACTTGCCTGGCAAAGCCTCCTGGAGGGCTGAAATATGGATGGACACAGAGAGGGCTCCATGTCCCCATTACCTCCCCAGAACAGGGAGTGTTCCAAGGACAAAAGTGTTCCAAGTTGTAGAATTAGGATGAAATTCCATGAAACCCATTATGTGCATTGAAGAACATACATCCATGTTTCAATTTCCAAATAGTTCTTACTCTTCCCTGATGTCTTAGTTTGTGTTGCTGTAAAGAAACACCTGAGGCTGGGTCATTTATGAAGGAAAGAGGTTTATCTGGTTCATGGTTCTGCAGGCTGTACAAGAAGTGTGGTGCCAGCATCTGCTTCTGGTGAGGGCCTCAGGAAGCTTCCCATCACAGCAAAAGGTGAAGGAGAGCAGGCATCACACAGCGAGAGAGGAAGGAAGAGGAGAGAGGAGGAGAGAGGTCCAGGCTCTTTTTTAAGACAATCAGTTATCATAGGAATCAATAGAGTGAGAACTCATTCATTACCAAGAAGATGGTACCAAGACATTCAATGAGGGATCTGCCCCCAAGACCTATTATCTGAACACCTCCCACCAGGCTCCACCTCCAACACTGAGGATCAAATTGCAGCATGAGGTTTGGTGGGAGCAAATATCCAAACCACATCACCTGACAAAGTACAAACAATGACTCAAAGTCCCATTCAGATGCCCTGTGCTCATCAGTGTTTCTGTTGTCTGGAAGGTGACGCCGAAGAAGTTGGCCCCAACTCCAGACCCAGATGACTGTCCAGCTGACTCACCAGCCTGAGAAAAGGAAACAGAGGAGGAAAACCCAGATTTGAGGCCAGGGGATGGAACATGGAGAAACACGACAAAGGAAAAGCTTAAAGCAGAACAGACCACAGCCAAGGAGATGTCTCTGAGTTGGAAGGAGAACACCACCATTTTCTTCAAAATATTTTATTGGTGAGTATTTTTCTGGTAATAGAAGTCATACATGGTCCTTGGTAGAAAATATGGAAAATACAGGATCTGATCATTGTAGAAAGCTTAGTAAGTACAAGGTGTCATGGTAGTCAAGGTGAGAGATGACAAGGACCCTGTTATGGATTGAGCTGTGTTTCCCTGACCCAAATTCGTATGTTTAAGTCCTAACCCCCAGTACCTAAGAATGTGACTGTATTTGGACATAAGGTCTTTAAAGATGTAATTAAATTAAAATGAGGTCATTGGGGTGGGCCCTTAATTTAATATGACTAGTGTCCTTATAAGAGGAAGCGATTAGGACACAGACACACACAGAGGGGAGACCACGTGAAGACACATGGAGAAGACGACCATCCACAAGCAAAGGAGAGAGGCCTCAGAAGAAACCAACCCTGCTGACACCTTCATCTCAGACTTCCAGCCTCCAGAATTGTGAGACAATACACTTCTGCTGTTTAAGCCACCCAGTCTGTGCTACTTTGTCGTGGCAGCCCTAGCAGACGAATGCAGACCCCAACCTTGGGCAGTAGCAGACACATGGAGAAGAGGGAAGGGATGGAAGACATTTTTAGGAGGTGAAATTGGCAAACTTTGTTGAATGGCTCCATATGGACAAGTGGGGGTGCAGAGTAGTGGAGAATTTTGTTAGTTTTCTAAGCCTGAGCAGCTGGATGGATGAGGGTGCCCCATCTCATCAACTGTGATGGAGAATCCACGAGGAAGAGTTGCTGTTTGGAGGAGTTGAAGGGGAGACGCGGGAGGGGCACCCGGTGGGGATGCCTGTTCTCTGGTTGATCTAGTCCAGGGCTTCAAGCCAAGGGCTGGAGGGAGGCACAAGGGCACATCCGTGCGAGCGGAAAGCATACTGTGAGTAGAGGAGGGTGGCAGAGGACAGACCCCCGGGGAGGTGCACATTTATTTTCTTGGAGGAAGGGACCATCATGTATTGTGCTGATGATCGCATCGCAGCTGTTCACATTTATTAGGTTGATTCCAAAATATTGTCTGCCTCCCCTAATTTCTCTTTCAACCCATTGTTTAAAAATTCCCAAGATAGGCACAGACAGACTACTCCCCAAATGCTAAATTGGTCAAATTAGGGGGAAGGCTGTCTCTTTAACCTACCCCTGTGATTATTTGGTACACATGGTGCTTAGCATGCTGGCGTCCAGGAACCACCATATGTGCAGGTAAGCGCAGAGCCGAGTGGTCAAACAATGGGCTGTTTTGCTTTTCGCAATACATGCTCTTACTTTTTTGTACCCCTCTGGCCTCCTTTCTTTAAACATTTTTTAATTGAAAAAATGCATATCAATGTGTGTTAGAAATGTGTGGGAATGGAAACAATAGTCTCTCCTAATGGTGTGAATAATGATGTGATTTTTGTTATTATCATATTAGTGCCAGCATATTTTGCAGGATTACTATGTATCAGGCACTATGCTGTATTGTTTCTCTTAGGATATGTAGTTTTCCACGAAGACATACGATTCTGAAACCCTGGAGAATACAAAATTGAAAATTAGCTTTCTGTTTAAGAGTGCAGGCTCTGGATTGAGGTTGCCTGAGTTAGAATTCTGATTTCCTCACTTATTAAACTAATGCCATTCTGGGTGAGCTACTTAATGTCTGTGTGTCGGTTTCCTCATCTGTAACAATGTCTTCCTCACAATTTAATATGAGTGTCAAATTTGATAATATGGGGAAAGCATGTAGAACAGTGCCTGGGACATAGTAAAAGCTCAATGAATTTCACTGTAAGGGCTCCCTATATATGAGTATTTCAGGAGGTTTTTTTTACATGACTTAAGATTGTTTTTGGAAAATAAAAAATTAATAAACAAGAGCTAGCACGGCTATCTTTAGGCCTCAGTTGTATTAAAACTCAAAGACTTAGTATTTCTCCAATACTCTGTAAACTCTCCCATGCTTGTTTCATGTACATTTCTTCAGTCCATCTCTCTGCATTGAGGCTAGATCAGCTACCTGCCTGCTTCTGTTTAAAGAAATGATTTCCTTCTTTGAAAAAAGAACATGCCTATGGTGTCTCCTTACTACAACATGTTTGGGATTCCAGCAATTTCTTTAAGTTACTTCCTGAATGGAGTTGTCACCATTATCCTACTTTAAAACTCCAGTATTCAGTTCCACATTTTAAAAAGTTCTTTAAAATCTCATACCAAGAAGAAGACGCCAGTCAGTCTACTGCCTGACATTTTATTAAGAATTAAAAATAATGAAGCCAGCAGAGATACAGAGAGAGACTAATTTAGAAACCTGGCATGATTGCTTTTAATTTGTTGACAATGTGGTGTTTGTGGGGGAAGGGAGGTGGTGGGGGAAGGACAGGGTACCGCATGGCCAGGCTCAAGCAGGCCTTGCATTAATGGGGTAACAGCTGAACTAAGTGTTCACAGTGAACACATCAAAGATTGTAGTCTTTGAGATACCATTTTTTCTATTCCAGGGTGTCAAAGGTGGCTGCAAATATATCCAGCGCTTTCTGGGTGGCATTGTTTAGGATGCTGGCCCAGCAGATGGCCCCAAATGCACCTCAGCCTGGTAAAGCAGAGACCACATGGGATGACATAGTCTTCTCATTAGCAAACAGGAAAAAAAAAAGGCAAGGATGAGAAAGGAGAGAGATAAAAAGAATACACAAAGACATTTACATATTTACATTGTCTCCTCCACATTTCAAATTCTCCTTTAGCTGAAGTGTCAGTGGGCTTGCTTTTCTCCTTCTGTTTGTATGTTTACTTGTGCTAAATAGATTATGCTAATTAGGCACATAAATGCATGCAACTGTTATTATGGCATTTTAATCACAGAGTTTTTCACTGGAAGCCTTCATTAGAATTCTCATAATCTTACTTGTTAGTGTAACAAACAGTAATAAATGCCAAGGAGCTTGGATTAAGGCAGAGGCATTCAGACTTTAAAAGAGGAATATGGAAATGTTGTCAAATCTCTGCATTACTTATTGAAATGTCACATAAACAGTTCGGGACTCTAAATATCTTACTCATTATAAGGATAGGGAACCAGGCAACCTGAAAATAGTAATTATGTCTTTCTTCCGAGCGCCAACATATGCCATTCATACATTCCAACTAACTCTTCTGAAATAACCGGATGGTCCAATATACAGCCTGGGCCATGATGTATGATTGTGATAAATTGGAGAAATTTGTTATTTGATTTCACTTATTTTAGGCTTAGTGGTAAATATGTGTGGACACAAACACATATAGAAATTTACTGTCTTTCCATTTTGCACAATTATTTGGCAAGTTGCTAGAAAAAAACTGCAGTTCTTTTTTTGTTTTCTAGGAAGCAATATCATAGCCATGTGCTTAAGAATAAGCCACTCTCTGAAAATAATGTGGTCTTGCAAACAGGTCTAAGCATTGGGACATAGTAGATGACTATCCTGATCTTGCACAAGCCCACAACGTAGATGTGACAATCTAAGTTCCGGGGGAAACTCCCTTACCATAGTTACGTGTTGCTGTGGGATAAACTACCCCACAAGTCAGTGGCTTAAAACAAAAACAATGACTTCTTTCTCATGATTCTGCTAAAGCAGCCATGTAGAGATGACCCAACGAGAGAAACTGAGGCCCGAGCCAAACAGCCTCCACGGAGTATCCAGTTTGCATCTTCCAGCTGTCCCAGCATCTCAGCCTGCACCAAGTTAAACAGAACCTCTTGGTAAAGCCTCAAGTTAATTACTCGTCTGGGGGCTGCACTCTTCCCCATTTGGCACTCTCTTGAAGGAATCTTTGGTTTACCCTCTAGCAATAAAACTGCCACCCACTTCTCAGAGGTCCCGAGGACCACTTGGTGCCGGAGGAGGCTGGCTCTGCCTTGGAGAACCAATGGAGGGGATCTTTTCCCCACTCCACATTCAGTAACTTGAAATTGGCCAGGACAGGGGCATGTCCACCACGGAAACTGGTGGATGTTTTTCCCTTGGAGAACCAGTTGTTGAACATTTCCCAGCACACCATTGCCCTGAGCCCTGAAATGTGCCTGGGCAACCTCACCGCACCCTCCTACTACAGCCTCGGACACAGTGGTTCTCAAACTCAGAGGTATAGAACCCACCCAAGGGACCTGCACACTTTGCAAATACTCTTGTCGCTCATCTTCCAGCCATAACCGGGACATGGTAGGAACTCAAGAAATGCTTCTTGAGTGAAAAAATGAACACGACTTTAAGGTGGGTAGTAGTATCATCTGCATTTTACAGATGAGGAAACCAAGGCACAAAATTGTTAAAAAAAAAAAAAAAAAGTTACCTAAGGTAGCATAGCTAGTAGGTACAGGAGTCAAGTGCAGGTCTGTCTGGCTCAGACAAATGCACATAGTGGACTGAAAGATCCCGGGCGATGGCCCTGCAGAGTCCCAGTGCCTGGTCCCACCTAACAGCGATGGCGGGTCCCACCTACCATCACGGCTGGCTTATCATCAGCAATCATTTTGGCCCCGCCATGATGGTGCCCTTAGTGAGCTCAGGGCAGTGGACTTACACATTGTGAACTGACTACAGGACAATGCCTGAACTGTGCAGCAAACACGACTATGAGGCAGTATCACGTGAAATTTTGGAGAATGGGTTTGGGGTCTAAAAGCACTGGGTTCACATACCACCTAGGCACCTCAATTTCCTCATATGCAAAAGAGGACTTATTCCTTAGGTTAGTCAATTTGTTGACTTAAAAATATTTGTGTAGCACCTACTCAGCCATACACTACAGGCAAAACAGGCTTCATGGCCCCTGTCTTTCTAGAGGTTAAGAAATTCTGAATAATACAAAACATGATGCATTTTCAAACTCAACCCCTGGCATGTACAAAGTGCTTGTCTTAATCAGAATTCCTAGTAAATAACCGTAAGTTCTGTGGATGCAGAGGCTGCACCCATTGTGGTAATTGCTGTATTTCTAGTTCCTGGCACATAACTGATGCCCAATAAGTTTTTCTTGCATACATTAAAAAGAGTTTTTTCTCTTGTAAATGACAGATGCCCAGTTGAAACAGCTTGAGGAAAAGGAGGGGTTTGTGGGCGAACTGAGCTTGGCTAGCCCCGGATGCCTGCTAGCTGTTGCTGCGAGTCTGACTCTGACTTGTCTCTGCTTTCCTAGAGGCTGCTTCTCTTCTGCCAGCAGCACAAGGCTCCCACACCACCAGCCCAGGTCTCTCAGCAGAAAGAGAATTTTCCTTTCCAAAGAGTGCCAGGGTTGACTCCTCCTGGCCCAGGGGAGGACACGTGTTGGTTCCACACCAGTCACGAGGACCTGGCTGGCCAGCCCCAGATCGCGCGTCAACCCCTGGGATGGGTGGATAGAAGTCCAGCCTCACTGGACCCAAATGCACTGAGGGTTGGGGAGGGGTGATTGCTCCCACCCCCTCCCAATTAGGGAGCTAGAACTGGCTACCTCCAGTTCTGTGGAGGGTCAGTGGATTCATGCAGATGTGGTCACCTCACTGTTGACGGAGACCCAAACAAATGACTCTGGCAGTTGTATGGACCTTAGGGGTAAGGGGTAAAGGGTAAGGGGTAAGGGAGAAGGGCTCAGTGAGAAAAAGCACTGAATGCTGAGCCAGAGTCACAGGGAAGCATCTCCAAGGTTTCTCCCTCCTTCCCTGTATTAGTCCGTTCTCACGCTGCTGATACAGACGTACCCCAGACTGGCCAATTTATGAAAGAAAGAGGTTTAGTGGACTCACAGTTCCACGTGGCTGGAGAGGCCTGACAATCACAGTGGAAGGTAAAAGGTACGTCTCACATGGCAGCAGACAAGAGAAGAGAAACTGTGCTGGGAAACTCCCCTTTTTAAAACCATCAGATCTCATGAGACTTGTTCACTATCATGAGAACAGCAAAGGAAAGACCTGTCTTCATGGTTCAATTACCTCTCACCTGGTCCTTTCCACAACATATGAGAATTGTGGGGCTATAATTCAAGAGGAGATTTGGGTAGGGACACAGCCAAACCATATCATTCCCCCATAAGGAGGCCTTGGCAGGGTGCCTGAAGAAGGTCTTGGACACAGAGACCCGGGAATGCAGGTGCAGGGCTGGGAACACAGGTCCGTGTAACTGCATGGCCAGTCAAGGGCCTGAGACCTTGACCACTGCTTCCTTCTGGGACTGCCAGTGCCCTGGCTGTGCCAGGTCTGGTGTGGAGTGGGAGCCTCCCCATAAGGCCTGCCAGGTACAGCCTTGTAGTTGCCCACAGCCAGGTCTGAAAAATCACAACTAAAAGTCAGACTCCTCAGTGGGAGGTTCTATTGCTCGCCATGGAAAACAACATAACATGACAATTTGGAATCTCTTAGTGATGAGGGAAAAAAAACCCAACTCAGATGGGATTAAAAAGATAAAGGATATGTGATTTTAAAATGGAGAGAGGACTTGAATAGACATGTCTCCAAAGATGATATATGAATGGCCAACAAGTATCTGAAAAGATGCCCACGTGACTAATCATCAGCGATGTGAAAATCAAACCTACAATGAGATATCACCCCATACCCAGCAGGATGGCCACTATAATAAAAGCCCCAGAAACTACAAAGTGTTGGCAGGGATGTAGATGTGTTCATTCATCT